CCCCCCCAAAAAAAAAAAATACATATCATCCAAAAAAATTTACAAGTTCATCCTCAAACGCATAATTTTTTCAGTTATATCTTCATCTTATTTCTTTTCCAAATGAATTGAACTTCGATATCACATTTATCAAAGAGCTATGTCATCTCTCTAAGTTACACAACCCTTTTAGATCATTCTATTCTTGCTTGAAAACCATCCTATCGGTCCGTTCCTTTTAATGGACATTCTTAACTATCCTCCAAGTGTTAACACTTCATACATAAGACAATGAACTCTTTTAAACCCTTAGTTTCACTTTTTTTCATTTCTTATCCATCTCCATCTTCTCTTCATCGTCATTGAAAAATCTCTTCTTTCTCTCTCTTCAAGAAATTCTTGCAAGTGATTCTCTGCATTAGCTTAGTTAGAAAAAAAATGATAAAACCTTTGGTTTTGTAAGAAACTGGCATGGTATATCAATTTTTTATTTAAGTTCTATGTATGTTTTCTAAATGGATGGTCCCATGTCACTTTTAGCATTCTTTTCATGATTTGATTTTATTTTCACCATTGATTATACTTTTTTTATGTCCCAAAACTAACACATTAAATAGGCGATAAAATGAAAAAAAAAATTGGCATTTTTAAAATAAGACTAAAATAACATAGAAAATAGATGGGGTAGGAAAAGTCATTTATGAGATGAGAATAGATGGAGTGAAAAATATCTTTCTTAGTAAGTATTTTTACAATTTTAATGGAAGTTTTTATAATTTTTGTGGGTCATTTTATAATTAAAAAAATTATAATTTTTATAGGTAATTAATTATTTTTGTGGGTATTTTTATCATTTTTTATGATACTTGTGATCGATCCTAAAATACTGATTTACAATTACTAGCGATTCCAACATCATCCCAAGTTGTAGAGAACATTTCAAATTATAGCCCTTCTGGGGGTCGTTAAGAACCGATTCACTCTACGTATATTGATTAAACGTCAAAAATCGTGAAATTAAACTAATGCGCTAAAATGTATTACTAAGACTAGAATCCAAATAATTGTCCTTTTTTTTCTCAAAGTCTAACTGGAGGCCAAAATTGACGGGCTAAAAAAAACAAGGAACAAACCCGGTTGAAAATAAGATTTTTTTCAAACCCTTTTGCCTACCGATCTTCACTTGTCATTCTAACTAGGCTTTAGAATTGATCATAAGTACTACAAAAAATGATAAAAATGATAAAAATATCAATAAAAAATGATAAAAATATTTATAAAAATAATAAATAATGATATAATATGAATTTTTTTTTTTTTGGGGGGGATAATGCAGCCTTGCCCATCGATTATTTGTTAGAGTTGGTCAAAATTGGGGGTTTTTGCTTTCAGTTATGGGAAAGGAGTGTCGTGTACTGAAGAATTTGCAACGCAAAATGGAAGCTTATGGCCGACCAAGTTGACTCTTAACGCTCTCAACCACCCACGTTGAGCACAACTGACTGGAAAGGCATCAATTTCTTTTCAACTTTTCTCCTTTCCACACGTCTCTCCCGTCAAATGATTCTATGATCCATTTTTTAAAATATTCTAATCCTTGTCGGTACACTTTTTTTTCTCTCCGTCGTCATTTATCAAGTATTCAAGTGAAATTCATCGTGTACAACTAAATTTCTTACTCATTAATAATAAATAGTGTACTAGGAACAAAATTAAAGAGAATATACTGGAGAAAATTTCACTATATTTTCAACATACATTTGGACGGCACACGGTAGATACTATATCATCATCTATAATTATTACGGTATTTTAGGATAGACCTTAAAAGGACTTCAAAAAGTTATAAATAGTAACTTGAACTCTAAAAATTATAATTTTTGTATGATAAATAAACCCAAAAAATTATAATTTTCGTATGATAAATAAACCCAAAAAATTATATCTCAATTGATAAGACTAGTAAAATTTGACATTACGATACCCTTTTTTTGTTCAATACCTTAGTGTTCTCCTCGGACAAAAAGACGATATATTTTTCAATACCTTAGTCTTCTCCTTGGACAAAAAGATGACACACATTGTAATAATTAACTCTTTAATCATATGTTCATGACTTCACTTTCAACGACTCTAATGCACTCAAAAATTTATTAAACATAAAGCAAGTCATTTTATAAAAAATATTTTAAGCTTTACTAATTTAAATAAATGTTTGGAATCGAATTTGGCAGTAACATGCCAAACAAATTAACAAATATTTAGTAATTGTGCAAGTGTGGTATATCATTTGGATCATTAAATGTAGTTAGAGGTGACAATCTTAACCCATTATCCGTTCAATCCATTTACAAATAAATGAATTGAGTATTTATATTAATTAATATGGGTTCTAAATAGGTTGGGTAATATGATTCATTTTAATTAAGTGGGTTAATATGAACTACAAATGGGTACTCATTGAATTGAATATTTTTCTTTTTATTAAATAACACAAGTAATAAAATTAAATAAATATATTAATATACCAAAAAATATACACATAGACACTAATATACCAAAATATACACACACTAGTATACAAAAATACACACACACTAATACACCACCCGTATCCCATGGGTCGACCCGTGATCCCACGACCCACAGGTTGACCCATAACTCATGGGTCGGCCCAT